GGGTCCCCGTATCTATATAGCACCCATGTTGACCGAGGAGAACATGGTGCGCCTGGGCTTCACCCCGGGTACCTCGCTAACGCCCACGCCTCCGAGCCGTCGCAATGATGCTGCTGACCTCGGCCCCGATCTCATCTCGGTGGACACGCCGTCGGGGGATGAGGAGGACTCGGAGAGCTCGGGGGAGCTCGCCTTCGAGATTCTTCGTGCCCCTACGCCCGAGGCCGACCCTCGCAACTTAGCTACTGCAGCGCCCTCTCATGCGGATTCGCCGGCGTCCTTGTCCGAGAGCGAGCTAGCACTGTCCATTGCCGTTCCGGGAGGTCCATATTCGTCAATCCCTGCTTGTCTTCTATCTTCTTCCTTTTTATATATTTGATTTAAGTTTAATTGCACCTCATATAATCTTACTTGTGTGCTTGTTGACAGGTAGAGCAAACACCATGCCCAGCCGGGTAGAGATGTTGGAGGAGATCCGGGCGTCCAAGAGACGCAGGACTACGGGGGGAGGTACAAGCCGCACCACCCGGGCTTCCACAGCCGGGCAGCGTACGGGTTTCGAGGTGGCCCCACCCCCCTCTAGCCCCGTCGCTCACGGGTCCCGCGCGCAGTTCCGTGGACCTCGCCCATGCTCGTGCGACGCTTCAGCCTATGACCACCGCTCCTGATGCGGAGTCCGTTTGGGCGGAGGAGGCTGCTGCTCATGCCTTTGAGGTAAGAAATCTCTTGTCCTGCTTCTGTATGCGAGGTTTGGGAATGTTCTCCTTACCCTATCCTCTTGCAGGCTGTTCAGCGTTGGATGATACTCGCCAATGCTTACGAGGCCACCCAGGTGCAGGTGGGTGCGCTCACCCATGTTATGGAGGTGGCTAGGCGATCCCACCAGCTCGAGCTGGAGGGACTGCGTGGGGAGCTGGAGAGGCTACGTGGGGAGCTCTCCCGAGCTGTTCCCACCTTCTTGGAGTCCGAGGATTTCAGGACTAGGGCCATGTCCTATGCTCGCGACCACTTGACTGAGCTAGTGGAGGAGTGGCTAGCTTCTGACGAGGGTCAACGCCGAGTGGCCACCGAGAGCTACGCATCGTATGAGGCGGGGCGGTTTGTTATGCAGGACCAGATTTACCGTGTCCTTCACCAACAGGATAGCACTTTCGACCCTATGAGTAGAGGTCTACCGGAGGTGGAGCCCAGCCCTAATTTGACTGCCCTTGACTCTCCCGTGCTGTCAGGCGGAAACCGTACGCTAGAGGAGCCCATAGACTTGACCGCTCTCGATCGGTACGTTGCTGCGAACCCCCTTCCTGCCGGTACCGTCCCCCACGACCTGGAAGGTCTTCAGCTTCCCGGGACCTTGGAGGAGTATGCTGCGGAGCGCCATGCCCACGATGCTGCCCGTGGTGGTCCAGACGCGAGTGCTTAGGCTTGCTTTGATTCCTTGCTTTGGTGTTTTTGTTTTAGCCCACGAGGCCAAAAACTTGTTCCATTTGTTATGCTAGACTCGATCTTTTGACTGCTTAGTTAGCACAAACTTGTTTCCCTGTTTTGCCATGAGCCAAACTTGGATGTTATGATTATTGCTCATTTGCTTTGATGACGTGATGGTTGCCACCTTCTACCTGCTATCACCTTTCTTTCAATTTTTTTTTGAGTCCCCCCGGCTGGCGCCAAGGTGCTCGAACTTAGGTCGCCGAGGTGTGAGACCTCGGCGCCGGCCGAGGTTCCAAGCCTGGGCAGCGTGCCGAGGTGTGGCATGGAAGGACCTCAGCACGTTGCCGAGGTGGTGCCATGGTGCACCTTGGCAACGTGCCGAGGTGCGACCATGGTACACCCCGGTGTTGTGCCGAGGTGCGTTAGGCCTTAATTTTTTTTTTTTAGGCCATGTGTTAGCCTCTTTAGCGTAATCCTATGAGATTACGCCACCGGGCTCTCCCGTCGGGGTTGGTAAGTGAGGTCGGACCTCGTGCCCCCTTAGGGTACGTCAGCCGCTCGAGCTAAGTCCTTCCGGACCAAGCTACCGGGCTCTTCCATCGGGGTTGGTACGCGAGGTTGGACCTCGTGCCCCCTTAGGGTGCGCTTAACCACTCGAGCCAAGTCATGTCGGACCAAGCCACTGGCTCCTCCGTCGGGGTTGGTACGCGAGGTTGGACCTCATGCCCCCTTAGGGTGCGCGCTAACCGCTCAAGCCGAGTCTTGTCGGACCAAGTCACCGGGCTCTTCCGTCGGGGTTGGTACGCGAAGTCGGGCTTCGTGCCCCCTTAGGGTGCGTCCATCGTCGGGGTTGATACGCGAGGTCGGACCCCGTGCCCCATTAGGGTTCGCGCGGGAGAGAACGTGTGAGCACTCGTTCCCTCTCATTCTACATGGTTTTTTTTTTTTTTTTTTTTATGAAGATAGATAAACGAGAACCCACTTCGTAACAAGGGCCCTTCTTATAACAAATTTCATAACATGAAATTTTATTCCGCTTATTGCCGTTTACTAAGACATTATTTGGGTGAGGGGAATGATCCTCCTCCTAAGATAGCAATGCCGAGGTCCACATTTCACGTGGCGGGTCTACTGGTAGAATTTCAGCAGATGTTCCGAATTCCAGACCCTGGCTATCATCTTTCCTTTGGGGGTCTTGAGCTTGTAGCTGCCCGGGCGGACCACAGCTGCTACAATGTATGGGCCCTCCCAATTGGCAGCGAATTTTCCTCCGGCCTGGGGTTGGCTCGCCTCCCTCCTCTTGAGCACATAGTCACCCGCTTGAAAATAGCGGGGTCGGACCCGCCTATCATGGTATGCTTTGGTTTGCCTCTGGTAGTTTTCAGCTCGGATCGCAGCTGCTTCGCGCCTGTCATCAATCAGGTGGAGGTCAATTTTATGGTGCTCCTCGTTCGTGTCAGGGTCGTAGTCCTCCTCCCGCCGGGAAGGTATGACCACCTCTGTTGGAGCTCGGATTTCGAAACCGTAGGCCAAGGAAAAAGGTGCCTCCCTGGCCCTCAGGGGGTGGTAAGGTAGGCCCAAAGAATGGCGTCGAGCTCCTCCACCCCCCCCACCCCCCCCCCCCCCGCTGATTCCAATTTCTTTTTTCAGGCCACCCACTATGGTGCGGTTGGCATTCTCCACCTGCCCATTTGCTTGATGGTAGCACACGGATACCCGGCTGTGAGTAATGTGCCATTCTGCACAGAACCCCTTGAACTCTTGCCCCTCGAATTGGCGTCCGTTGTCGGTGATGAGTTGCATCGGGACCCCAAAACGGCACAAAATGTTTTTGTACACGAAGTGCTTGCAACGGGCGCTTGTTATGGTTGCCAGCGGTTCCGCCTCTACCTACTTGGTAAAGTAGTCCACTGCAACTATGAGGTACTTCCTCTTTCCCGACCCCATGGGTAGGGCTCCCACTAGGTCCACTCCCTACCTGGAGAAGGGGATGACCGAGCTGATGGGGGTGTAGCTCGTGGCGGGTCGGCCAGGGGTGACCTGGAAGTGCTGGCAGGTCTCTCAACTCCTGGCGTAGTCGGCGCACTCCATGGCCATTTTGGGTCATAAGTACCCCTGTAAGATGGCCATCCAGGACATGGCGAAGGCCCCCTGGTGGGCGGAGCAGGTCCCCTCGTGGATCTCCTCCATGACTGACCTGGCCTCGTCTGGGTATAGGTAGCGCAGCAAGGCGCCGTTATAGGACCTCTTGTAAAGTGTGTCCCCTGTGATCACGTACGTAGGGGCTCGTCGGGAGGTAGTGCACCTGTCTTTTTGTACTCCATGAGGTGGTCCAACCAGTAGGGAGGTCGGGTATGCACAGGTAGGACCGGTAGGCATCCAGGCTCGACCTCTTGAAATCTTCAATTTGGGCTATTTTTGAAATATGCTCCGGGGCCCCTTGGGCGAGCTTGGATAACATGTCAGCATCTGTGTTCTGGTCTCGGGGTACCTGTAAGACCTCGTAATTGATCAGCTGCCCCAAGAGTTGGAGCACCACGTCCCTGTACCTCCTCATTCTTTTATCACTTGCTTCAAATTCACCTGTGACCTGTCCCACCACGAGTCTAGAGTCACAACGGATCTTGAGCTTCTCCACCCTCATATTTAGCGCGAAGCGGAGCCCCCCCAAGAGTGCTTCGTACTTGGCTTCGTTGTTGGATAATTTGAACGCAAAGCGGAGGGCGTAGTAGGCCCGAAACCCCTCCGGTGTTATGAGGACGACTCCACCCCCGCAGCTTTTGGTGCTGGAGGATTCGTCCGTTGAGAGGGTCCACCACTCCTCGTTTTCGTCCCAGACCCGCTCCGTGGCCTCCCGGGCAGTACACTCGACTATAAAATCAGCCAGTGCCTGCCCCTTGATAGCGGGTCTGGGCTTGAACTGGATGTCGAACTGGCTCAGCCGCATGGCCTACCTGACCAACCTGCTGGCCGACCCCAAGGCCCTCAGTACTGCGTCTAGTGGCTGGTTGATGAGGACCTGTACGGGGTGGGCCTGGAAGTAGTGGTTCAGCTTCTTTGCCGTCACATCTACCGCGAAGATGGCCTTTTCCACAGGTGTGTACCTGATCTCTGCCCCCTGTAGAGCTCAGCTCGTATAGTAGACCGGTCGTTGTACCCCCTCGTAGTCCCGGACCAGCACGGAGCTGACCGCGGCCTGTGAGATGCCCGGGTACAAATATAGGACCTCCCCCTTAACGGGTTTGGCCAGGGGGGAGCGACATCAGGTACGTCTTGAGGTCTTCGAACGCCTTCTGGCACTCTTCGGACCACTCGAAGCCCTTGGTCTTTTTGAGGACTCCAAAAAACGGCAAAGATTTCTCGGCCGACCTCGAGAGGAAACGGCCCAGGGCTGCCAACCGTCCGTTGAGGCGCTGGACCTCCCAGAGGGACCTCGGAGGTTCCATGTCCAGAATGGCCTTGACCTTATCAGGGTTGGGCTCAATGCCCCTCTTCGAAACCATGTAAACCAAAAATTTCCCCCCATGCACCCCGAAAGTGCACTTTTTGGGGTTCAATCGTAAATTGAAACGCTACATAATTGAAAATACATCGGTAATGTCATCCGTGTGGAGGTCGGTTTCGGTGCTCTTAACGATCATGTCGTCGACGTAGGCTTGCAGGTTGCGACCGAGGACCTGCTTGAACAGCTTGGCCACCATTCGGGTGTAGGTGGCACCTGAGTTTTTCAGGCCGAAGGCCATGACCTTGTAGCAATAGACCCCCTCTGGTGTGGTGAAGACTGTCTTCTCCTCGTCGGCCTCCTCCATGAAAATCTGGTGGTACCCCCTGAACGCATCTTGGAAGCTCATGAGGGCACAACCTGCGGTCTCGTCCACCAGCTGGTCAATGTTGGGGAGAGGAAAGGGGTCCATGGGGCAGGCCTTGTTGAGGTCGGTGTAGTCCACGCACATCCTCCAGGTGGGTGGCTTTGGGGCGAGGACCACGTTGGCTAGCCAGGTGGGGTATATGACCTCCCTGACATGACCGATCTCCAGCAGGGTGTCGACCTCATTTTTGACGAACTCCCTCCTCTCGGCGGAGAGGTACCTTTTGCGCTGCTGGACTGGCTTGACCGCGGGGTCGACAGCCAACTTGTGCGTGATCACGTCTCGGCTGAGGCCCGGCATATCCTCGGGACCCCATGCGAAGACCCCCTTGTAGCTCCTGATGGTGTTAATTATCCGTGCTCGGAGCTCGGCCGGCCCGGCCGACCCCTACCTTCACGACCCGATCGGGTCGACTGAGGTCGAGGATGACCTCCTCTGTCTCGACCACGGGCTCGGCCCGAGGTCGACCTGCTTCCTCCCGAAATGCCTTCTCGGCGATGGTGTGGACGTGGAGGTCCTTCTGACCAATTCGGCGGCACGCCTTTAAGTAGCAGCTGCGGCTCACCTTTTGGTCCCCCCGGGCGACCCCGACCCCGGCTGGTGTCGGGAACTTGAGGCACAAGTGCTCCATGGAAATCACGCACCTGAGGTCTTCTAGGGCGGGTCGGCCGAGTATAATGTTGTGCGCGCAGCTGATTTTGACGATTACGAACTCGACCTCCCACCTCCTGGTGTGAGGTGGGGTGCCTATCTCCACCTCCAAATTGATCGACCCCTCTGTCTCAATTGAGTCCCCCGTGAACCCGGACAGGGGGGTCCGTACTTGCTCCAGCTGCTCTCTTGAGAGTCCTAACTGGGTGAACGTGTCGTAGTACATGACGTTCACCGAGCTACCCATGTCTACGAGCACTCGGTGCACCACCACATTGTTGATGTCCAGCTTGACCACCAGGGCGTGTCAGTGGGGGAGGGCCCCATCTGGCAGGTCGGCGTCAGTGAACGTGATGGGCTCCTTCTTCGGTTTCTTCTCGTAGGGGGTTTGTGTGACCTCCCCCACGTACAAGCTCCTCGCCGACTTCTTTCGCTCAGCTGGCAAGTCCCCTCCCTCGGGCCCTCCAAAGATGACGTAGATGGTTCGTTTCTTCGGGGGCTGGGAGTCCTCCGTCGTCTTCTCCTCCTCCTCGGAGCTGTGGTCGTGGTCCCTCTTACGAGGTGCTGAGGTGGATGGCGCCTGGCCACCCCCCCTTCCTCCATACATTGCCTTGCTTCTGGCCCTGCGCCTGGCCGGGCTTCTTAACGAACTGGCCGAGGTAACCCATTTGGATGAGCTCCTCGATTTGTCTCTTTAGGAGGATGCATTCGTCTGTATCGTGTCCCTTCTACCGGTGGAACCTACAATACTTGTTGGGGTCCCCCCCTCGCCGATATCTTCATGCACTCCTCCTTCGGGAATACCACGATTCCCTGGTCCTCCGCGTGTGCCAAGATGGTACCCACAGGTTGTGTTAGCGGAGTGAGATAGCGTGTGGGGTTCAGTCTGGGCCCCTTAGCGTACTCACGTCGGTGTGGCCGTGGCGCCTTGCGCTCCTCCTGAGGTGCCTTGTCTTTTCGACCTCTCCCTTCCTCTTGCTCCTTCTTCCTCTTCTCGGCAGCCTCGGCGTCAGCGTACCTGGATGCCCTATCCATCAGGTCGGTATAGGTCCTTCCTGGGGGGGGGGGGTACCTGATGAGGTCCTGGTGGAATGCGCCCGACCTCAAGTTGTTTCAGAAAATCGGCATGGCCGACTTCCCATCAAAGTTGGCGACTCCCATGGCCTCTTTCTTCCACTTTCTGAGGTACTCGGCTAGTGATTCCGAGCTCCCCTGCTTTAAATCACATAGGTCGGCAATTTGCTTCTTCCGCTGTATGCTGGTGGCGAAATGGGATAGGAACTGTCGGGTGAGATCCGCAAAGATGGAGATGGACCCTGCCGGGAGGGATCCGAACCAGTCATGCGCCTGCCCGTCCAGGGTGGCGAAGAATCCCTTGCATAGGATGGCGTTTGTCGCCTCGGTGATCATCATGGCGGCCCTGTACCTGGTGAGGTGTGCCCGCGGGTCCGTGGTCCCCGACTACGCTTTAATGGTGGGAAAGCGAAAATCTCGAGGTAAGGGCTGCTCCATGATGGCATTTGCGAACGGGGAGGACAACACATCCTAGGGCTCTGGAGATCCGTCTCTCTCGTCGATCTTCTTCTGGAGCTCGTCCATCCTCCTCCGCAGCTGCTCGACCTCTTCTCGATGGGAGCTCGGAGCTCTACCATTCGTTTCACCTGATCGCTCGACCCGGGAGACCTGTTCACGCCGAGGTGGGGCTCGGGTCCCCCAACCTGGTGACCTCTGCGAACCTACCTCTTGTCGCGGCTGGGCTCGGGGTCCGTGGCTTGGCGACCTCCGGGTGACTGATTGTCGTCGTGCTTGCCTGCGGGAGCATGATTCTGCTGGTGGAGGCTCATTGGCGGCAGGCCTTAGGCCCAACCTCTCTCGGGCTGGCACCAGGCTGCCCAACCTCTCTCGGGCTGGCACCAGGCTGCCCAACCTCGCCATGGCGGGCCTGGTTTGGTTTGACCTCTTCTCCTCGTCCTCATGACGTCGGTCACGCCGTGAGTCCCCTCCTCCCAGTGTGTTCGTCTGGCGGGGTGAATTGACCTCCCCCTGGGTAATGAGTGCCTGGGGTGGCCGGGTGCTTGGACCGCTGCGCCCCCAGGTGGGAGGAGGTGGAGGAGGTGCCGGTAACCCTTGGTCGACGCCCGGGTCAGCAGGCATACGCGTTCGGAGGTCCGCCACAACCCGGGCCAGCCCCTTGGAGGCTTGCTCGAAGACCGCCATCCCCTCCCGGATGAGGGCTAGGTCTTGAACAGGGGGGCGGGAGGTGGAGCTCCACCACTGCGGTGGTTGGTGAGACGGTCCCTCATGTCTCCCCCCGACCTGTCAGAGGTGGCCGGTTGAAGGCTGGGGACCCCGTTGGGGCCATTCCCGGCTGCGACAAGCTGGGTGCCGCGGGAACCGTTGGTATGGCGCGAGTTGGATCTCGATCTTGCCATAGTAATTGGTCGCGGTAGACAACTGGATATAGAACACGCTTGAGCTGGTACAGCAGCTCTCAACAAGAGCACCAATGATGGATTGAATTCACCCGGGGTGGACCCGAATCAATAAATCCGGATAAGAACGTAATATAAATAATATATAAATGAACGAAACGATTTCGTAAGGCCGTGAGACCGTATATTGTATTAAATGCCGTAAATTGGCTATTACAATGTCTATCGGGACAAATTGTGTGTAATAGATGTAGAATATAGATAAAATACCCTTTGTTAGGACAAGGAGGGGGGTTTTTATACAAGCCAAACCTCCAACCGCCTCCCCCTAAATCGAGGGGTGGTTGGATCACCACTTTGACCGGGCCCGGGTGGACCGGGTCAGGTCGGGTTCCGAGCTCGGGTGGTGCCGAGTCGGGTCGGGTCCCGAGCTCGGGTAGGACCGAGCTCCCCGACCCGAGCCCCCACGTAGGTCGGGTCGGGTCGGGGCACCTCTACGGTGCCGTAGGTCGGGTGCTTTTGGGCTCCAACGTGGTGCTCCGGGTCCGTGTTGCTCTTGGGCTCCAATGTGGTGTCTCGGGTCCGCGTTGCTCCTGGGCTCCACCGTGGTGCTCCGGGTCCGCGTTGCTACCCCGGGTCGGGTCGTGGGTATATTATATCCATCAAAAATATTTTAGCAAAAGTAGACTCTTTATTTAGTAATGGGCAAGAATATAAATTGGAATGCAAGAATACAAATTGGAATCAGAATTAAAATAGTTGGTTTGCAAATTACCATTATGTTACTTTGCTGATGCGAACTATTATGACCTTGTTTGGTAGATCTTATTTTAGAGGTTATTATTTTAAATTACAAATAAGCTATAAGCACTGTTTGGTAACACATAGAGTGATTAAAATAATAGTTTATTTTGAAACGCTACCTGATGACAAGCTCAACTCCATCATTTGTTCGGTTAGAAACATTCTGCAAGACAACTAACTTTTGAGCATAGCAGATAATTCAACTTCAAGAAGATTGATACGGCTCTCTTGGTCTTGAATTGCCTTCAACTGCCTCAAGTGTCGCTCATGGTATATCTTTTCGGATGCTTCTCTTTCTTGCTTCATGGTTCGAATCACTTCAAGCAATCCTTGAGTTATATCTCCCTTCAGATGGTTTTCGGTTCTATCAATCTTTGCTTGCAAGGTGTTTAGATATTCCATAAGCTCTTTGAAATTTTATCTTGTATTGTCATATTGTTGCAACGCCAAGTGACCTTAATCCTTCAAAGTACTTTCAATCTTGTGGCAAATTGTGTCTCCAGATTCAGACACTTTAGCAAATAAGGAATTCAAAATATCATCTTCATCTTCTTGAGCTCTACAGTTTGCAGTGTTTAAATTATGCAAGAATTTGAGAAAATTCCTTTTGGTTTCGATCACAACTGGAGCTTCAACAAGTTGTAATGTTCTTCCTTCAGATGATTCGGCCTTAGTAGTATTGTTCCCGTCACCTTCTTCTTCACAGGTTTCAGCTCTTGTATTAACTTCTTCTTCATCATGAAAACTTTCTATATCTTCAAACTCTTGTGAGAATCCTTGAGTAGATAGAATTGGTTGCTCGGTGATTGGTCTCACTTCAAGTGGAGATTGAGAGTTTGCACCAGTCCGTCAATGCGCCCTGCAATTTGTACTTGAATGCCTTTTGTATTGTGAGGCCCCAATTCTCAACTTCAACATTCCCCCTCACTTAATCACTTATCTCAATGTAAATTAAAATTGGGGTGTTACAGGCCCTGGGCAACGGATCCTCTTAGGATATGTTCCCACGGTCCGTCTATCCACAGATCTAGCTAGCGGACCTTGCCTAGCTCCGTTGGCTAGGTCCGTGAGACTATCTGGTGCACAGACAATGTGCACTAGTGTCTTCTCTTTCACCTGTAAACATCTCAGATCAACAATATACACCTCTAAACCTCAATAAATCAATCAAAGATCATCAACAACACACAAATAGCTCATCCACTAACATTATCTAGCATTTCTAAACATCTATTTCACATTTCTAGCATTTAACAGAGCAAAAACTAATTTGGGAGTCCATGATTTATACCTTGAGCTTCTTCTTCTTCTTGTGTGGATTTTCCTTTCCTCTCTAACTCAGTTACTACCTCCTTCACCACCTATTCTCCTCAAACAACAAAGATACACACAAAGCTTAATTAAGGGAAAGAA